ACCTAACAAACTTCTCTATTTTTAAAAAAAAATTTTTTTTTCAACGTTTATTTATTTTTGGGACAGAGAGAGACAGAGCATGAACAGGGGAGGGGCAGAGAGAGAGGGAGACACAGAATCGGAAACAGGCTCCAGGCTCTGAGCCATCAGCCCAGAGCCCGACGCGGGGCTCGAACTCACAGACCACGAGATCGTGACCTGGCTGAAGTCGGACGCTTAACCGACTGCGCCACCCAGGTGCCCCCAAACTTCTCTATTTTTAAGCCATGCTTCCTTGCTGTTGCTTCTAGACAGACTCTGATTTGGTATCTGAACTATATATGACACAGACTTCAATTACTGTTCTGCTGATCAAGTACTTTAATAATTCATCTCATGGTCCAGATTATGAGATCCCTGATAGAGGAAACTAAGTATGTTTACATTAGAATCCATTGCACATAACAGTAAATAAAGTCTGAAGAAATGAAATGTTATATAGGAGCCACACCCGGATGGGAGTCTAGTCCCACAGAGAACAAATCCAAATTTTCTGAGATCTGTACAGTAAGCAGCAACTGCAAATATCAGAAGGTATAAGGATGCCACCACTTGCCCACTGGGTAGATTTCCTAGTAGAGGTTAGAGAGGTAGCTGTATTACCCTGACAATATAACATTGAGGAGAAGGGCTATTTTCATGGAGGGAGTATTAACAGTATAATAGATCATGCTGACACTAGCATCATGTATATATAAGAATACAGGTTCTGAAGTGATATGGTCCCACATCTGAGTCTCAGCTCTGCCATATTTCCACGTCTATAAAATGAAGGTGACAATTTAAAAAATCTCCCTTATAAACTTGTGAGGATTAAATGAGATGATGCATATCAAAGTTTGGCATAGTGCCTGGCATGTAGTAAATATTCCATAAAAGTTAATTTTTATTATTACCATGATTATTACCTCTCAAACTTCTGGCCTCTACTAACAGCTGATTCAGATGGGAAGGAAAAAAAACAACCCCAAGAAACCCAGGCAGCATCTACAGGACCGTGAAGTTACAGAATAAAAACTTCACATCCTGGCGGCATAGTTATTATATGCATCACCTTTTATTGCTAGTGATTGAGACTCTGACGAAGAAAAATAAGTATAAAACAATCCAGACCCACTGGAGTAACTAATCCAAGTTACCACTGTGCTGAAGATACTATGCTTTGTGCCAGAGCAACACAATAGCAATAGTGGAAATAATAATATAGTAACAATAGTAGCAGCAGTGGCTGATATTTATATAGCACTTACTGTGTGCCAGGTACTATTTCAAATGCATTACGTGTACTAGTTCATTTAACCTATTAAGTCTTAGAAATAAGCATTTAGGATTAAGAGTCCAACAGCACTGGGGTTAAATCTTGGCCCAGCCATTAATGAGCAAGTTACTTCACTTCTCTAACTGACCGTTTCCTCATATCTACCTGGGAGTGAGAACACCTAACGCACAGGGATAATGTGAGGAGTGTCTGAGATTATAAACATAAAGTACCTATCATGTGCCAGATAACCAGAAGATGCCCTAGGAGCTATACCTTTATCATTGCTGTTAATATTATTACATCTGAGGACCAAAAACATCATTCTGCAGGCATGCAGAGTAAAGTTTCAAAAGGGGAACTTTTTTCTTCCTTCCTGAGTTCCTCGTTAGCCTTTTTTTTTTTTTTTAATTTAAAAAAAATTTTTTTTCAACGTTTATTTATTTTTGGGACAGAGAGAGACAGAGCATGAATGGGGGAGGGGCAGAGAGAGAGGGAGACACAGAATCGGAAACAGGCTCCAGGCTCTGAGCCATCAGCCCAGAGCCTGACACGGGGCTCGAACTCACAGACCGCGAGATCGTGACCTGGCTGAAGTCGGACACTTAACCGACTGCGCCACCCAGGCTCCCCCTTCTTTAGCCTTTTTTAAAATTGTAAGCATTCAGGGCGCCTGGGTGACTCAGTCAATTAAGCACCTGACTTCAGCTCAGGTCATGACCTCGGGGTTCGTGGGTTCGAACCCCGTGTCAGGCTCTGTGCTGACAGCTCAGAGCCTGGAGCCTGCTTCACATTCTGTGTCTTCCTCTCTCTCTGCCCCTCCCCTGCTCATGCTCTCTCTCTCTCAAAAATAAATAAACATTTAAAAAAATCATAAGCATTCTATGATATTAAGTTTTCCTCAGAATGAATGATAACATGAATACAAAGTGAAATATACAGATAAAAAGACCTTTAGATTCGCTTTAAGAGTTTTTTTCCTCTAGGAATAGTGCTGGTGAAAATACTATAGTTCCTTCAAGTAAATAGTGCTGAAAAGAATGAAAATGGCATATGGCTGGGGGAATCTTCCAAAGAAACTACTCTACACAGCCATCCCTGTTCTTTTCTCTGCCTTTTAAGGTCACAGTAACAGGATAGAAAATCTGGGACTCACACCATCTGTCCAGACAGTTCCATCACTGCTCATTTCTCTTGTTAAATAATCAGAACATTTCACACTTCCCAAACACTGCTACCATAAAGAGCAGCTAAAGCAGAATGAAAGAAGCTCTTTCTATGCAGAAATGTAGCGGTTAGAAATGAAGAGTTCTTTTGAAGTTTGTGGGTTTCAGACCATGTTAGTGAGAAGAAAGAAGTTTATGCCCCCGAAGGAAATCTAAGAATAACAGAATTATACTACTGGCTCTAGAAATTACCTTTCTTTGAAAAAAGGTGACATTCTCATATGAGTTCTCTATGAACAGATTTGGCAGTTTAATATTGACTTAATTATATAGGTTTCTTCTAATCTGTCAATTTCTCATAAGACTAAGAAGAGAAATAGTTTTCTTTACCACCACTACAACTGCTACTCCTAGTAGTATTAATAATAGTAGTAATTAATAATAATTAATAATAGCTATTAATAATAGCAATAATAATTACTTGGCACTCGGGACATCCTTAATTCTCTTCGAACCCCCCTTTTTTGTGTATTAACTCAGCTAATCCTTAACGCCATTCTATGTAGCAATTTCTGTTATTATTCCCATTTTACACTTGAGGAAACTTACGCACAGAGAGGTTAACTAACTTGCCCAAGGTCATAAAGCTGGTGAAGTATAAAGCTGGGATTCAAAAGCAACCAGAATGGCTCCATCTCCTCAATTTCTAGGCTATACTACTTTACAGTTTTTAAAGAAGCCTCTAAATTATACATTAAATTCAGCTTCATCATATTTTGAACAAACAAACTATAGCTGAATGTCATAAACACTCCCATTCACCTAACCACAAGTGAGAATGTCAGTTATATGTTAACTTATTAATTTGTCTTATAATCAGAGCTTTAACCCAGAATGAATGTGTTGTTATCATAAAGCAAAATAATTTTTTATATTAAGTACAAGTTTCAAGAATATGCACCAGGATCAATGTCAATTTGGGGAGACTTTACAACTTTGAGAAAAAGGTTTGGATTACTCTCAGACCTCCAGAATTTAAGCTTATGTGAAGACTCCTGGCCTGCAAGTAAAGATACAGCACTCCCGAGAGGGTGTGTCAACACACCCAGGAGAAAGCAGTCTGAATACGGCATTTCTCTTCTGTGCTACAGAACATTCCCCACTCTGCCCAATGGATCAAATTTATTCCAAGTTAGAAGCTCCAATCTGAGTGGTAAGTGAGGCAAATTTATGCTTCTGCTCATATAACTACCATAGTAATGACTGCAATGATAATAATCACATTAGTAATCATAATATTACTAATAAACAGTAGCAGTCATAACCACCATTTGCTGATAACTTAGTAAATGCTAAGCATTATGCCAAGTGCCTCATATGTCAGGTGTATTAGGGAGACAGTGGGGAGTAGTGGTTAAAGAGATGGATGGACTGTGTGGTCCTGAACAAAGAACTCACATTTTCAGCGCCTCACAGAATACCTACCTCCTAAGATTATTTTGATGATTAGATGTGTTAACACATGTGCAATGCTCATAACAGTCAAACACACAGGAGTACTATCCAAACTTAAGAGACTAGGAGATTAATGTTCAGAAAAGCTAAAGGCCACACATGGGTTAGGGTGCAGCTAAGGTCTCCCAGGTCGGCCTGACTCCAAAGACCAACTCTTTGGGAGCTCCTTCCCCTTCATTTGCACTTCTCTTTCTCTCTTTCAGAATTGAGAATAGGTCGATTGCATCACAAAGGAGAGCATAGTTACTCTACTGTCATTTTTGTCTTTTCTCATCAAAGTTTTACTATGGCAGCATTAAAAAAAAAATGTTAAAAATGTCAATCTAACATACTGTACTCCATCAATTCTGAGACATTTCCCCCCACCCAAATTTTTCCATCTGTGAGTCATGTGTTTTAGAATTATAATTGGCAGTATTTTTCCTTTCTTAGTAGCGCATAAAATAATAGTGCATCTTACAATCTATATCATCTTACATTTGACAAAATATGGCAGCTGTTAAGCTCAAGGAGTATCCTTGAAGGATTAGCCCTCAGTTTATACTGAAGGCACATTCCAGAGCTTGCCCAGCATGGTGGCCTCAGCGCAGCTCAGTCCCAATTTTCTCACTTAAACTTCACCTTGACAATCTCCTTCTTACTGACTGTTAACCAATTTCCATCAAATTAACAAGCTCCTATAACTCTAAAAGCCAATCAGTGTTTTGGCTAAGGCTCTGGGCTTAGTTTTTGTGTTCCTTGTTTTGGTTTTCCCTTTCTGATGACTCAAGGACTTCTGTTCTAATCATAATGACTATTTGGACTGAGGTCCCATCCCATGGGCACTTCCTCCTCTTACACTGTCCTTATAAGTAGTTCACACTTTTCCAAACATAACTGGGCTTTATGGGTAAACTGAGAAAGTATTAGCTAATAGCAAAGCCTTGACATTCTCTTGTTTTTCATTTTCAGTTACTTCCTTATTTCTACCTTCTGAAGTTATCTCTAAGAGCCCCTTTTATAAGTACTTATCTGGTTCATACTTAAATTTTTTTCCCGTTTTGGCCTGAGTGCCTCCATTCCACATATGGTCAGTCTCTTCATAGAAGAAAAAAATGTCGAGTTTTACATCATCTTTTCCCTGGAAAGATAGTTCCAAGCTGTCCTCTACCTAAGGGGAAATGAAAACCTTCATAGACTGTAATGAAGGAAATATATTTTCTTTAAAAAAAAAAAAGACTGTGTTTTATAGAGGGAGAATATTGATTGTTAACAGAACATGTTTCTTCAAGCCAAACACCTCTGAAATTGGGATTTATTGGTAACGTACCATCATTTGATTTCTTTCTTAAATGCATACAAAATAATGTTGCTTCTTACAATTAAAGACAACTCAAAGTAAATGACTTACAGTAGCCAATTACCACTCTGCACAACATCCTGTTCCTGAGCCCTTTTCTGACTAAAGAAGGAAAGGAACCAAAGAAAAATGATTCCCTTTAATAACCAAGTAAAACTATTAGGAAATAAGTCTCTCATCAGAATCAATAATGAGGACTTACTTAAGTAAACATGACATCATAGAAATTCATATACAGCCCATAAATCATTACACTATGTACATGAAAAGAGGAAGAAATAAAAGTTAAAGATACAAAGAATTCTGGGAGCATTTCCCTAAAGAAACTTAATCTACAAATAATTATGTTCCCATTAGACTTGGTGCATCTGTCCGTTATGACACTAATCACATAATTATTATGTGTTTTTCCCCCAATTAGACAGTGAACTCCTGAAGGTAAGTACCATAACGTATGCATCTTTGGGTCCCAGGTGCAGAGCGCAGGGCCAGGCATAAAGTGAGTGTTGAGTAAACATTCTCTGTACGCCCAGAGTTCTCCTGCTTTGACTGTGACCTCTGGAAAATATTTTTATATTTTTTTAATAAATAAATTTTTTAATAAGCTAGAATAATTATGATGGAAAAAGTAATTTTTCAGTGACTAACCATACTTCTACTTGCTTCCCAGGACAACACCTCCCTGGGAACAAGCAAATTAAGAGTAAGATGTTTGAAGAAAAAAAAAAAAAAAGAAGTAAGACATCTTCAAGGAATCATGGGCTTAGAGCATAGAAATCAAATTGTCTAAAAGGAGATTTCATGTAAGTCATGATGACCTATTCCTAGTTGAACTCTGAGAAAATTGCTATGACCCAGAACCTATGAAGTAAATATGAAATTCAAGAACTATTTGAAATGATTCTGTATTTCTAACCCTTAGCCATCAAAGGACCATTTCATGTTGATAATAATAGAATGCCTAAGGGAACATGAAATTAAAGGATTCATGAGAAACAACATAACATCAGGTAAGGTAGGTAGGATTCTTAATTATTGTATTAATTTTATATTATCTGGTACATTAATTATATGTTATATTGTTATCTAATATAATGGCAGTAAAATAATCTGCAAGAGTTCAAGATCCTTTTCTCCTTCTCAATGTCAGTAGAAAGACAGACTTTCTAGTTTTCCTTAAATAGTGCGGAAAGTCACATAACAAGCTTCTGCTGAAGTCATCCTGGCTAATACTGAATGATCAAATGATATATGCAACATTCTTAACTGGTTGTCTCTGAACTGTTTAATATAAATTCTACTTTTGAAAAGACATATTACTTATGAAGTAAAGAAGATTTTTATTACTGACCTTCCCAAATTTGTGTTTGAGTGGAAGTCCTACATCCTGAAATGCTGAAATAATATCAGATTTATAATCTTGTATAAAAATTCCTAGGTCAACATCTTTACTATAAGGAATAATGTTGCATTGCCGATACCATCCTAAAAATAAAAAAGAAGAGAAAAAAGAACATTTTTTAAAAACTTAAATTAAGAAAAAATTAGTCACAACTGTATGATGTTTTTAAGAATGGATTTTAGGGGCGCCTGGGTGGCGCAGTCGGTTAAGCGTCCGACTTCAGCCAGGTCACGATCTTGCGGTCCGTGAGTTCGAGCCCCGCGTCAGGCTCTAGGCTGATGGCTCAGAGCCTGGAGCCTGTTTCCGATTCTGTGTCTCCCTCTCTCTCTGCCCCTCCCCCGTTCATGCTCTGTCTCTCTCTGTCCCAAAAATAAATAAAACGTTGAAAAGAAAAAAAAAAATAAAGAATGGATTTTATTTCATAAGATTAGACTTAGAGTGCTTACCAAAATTATTTTAAAAAATTAAATCTGTGGTTATAGAAGCCACTTGTTGAAGAACTTTTTCTTTCCTTCCTTCCTTCCTTCCTTCCTTCCTTCCTTCCTTCCTTCCTTCTTTCCTTCCTTCCTTCTTTCTTTCCTTCCTTCTTTCTTTCCTTCTTTCATTCCTTCCTTCCTTCTTTCTTCCCTTCCTTCCTTCCTTCTTCATTCATTTTTACTGGCCTGAGCACTCATCATCCTCAGAAACTTTCATGATGTATTTTAATTTCTTTTTTTTTATTTAAATTTTTTTTTCAATGTTTATTTATTTTTGGGACAGAGAGAGACAGAGCATGAACAGGGGAGGGGCAGAGAGAGAGGGAGACACAGAATCGGAAACAGGCTCCAGGCTCTGAGCCATCAGCCCAGAGCCTGACGCGGGGCTCGAACTCACGGACCGCGAGATCGTGACCTGGCTGAAGTCGGACGCTTAACCGACTGCGCCACCCAGGCGCCCCTTTTAATTTCTAAATAAGCTATTGGCTTTAATAATGTTACCTGGGCCATCCATTAAAAAAATTAAGTTACTTTTGGGAATTTTGATCAGAAACCCCTAATGATGAAGGCTGCCTTTAAGGTATGCTAAAAAATATAATTTAATTCTTTTGCTTAACCAGTATCCCTTCTCTGAGCTGTAATTTGTAGAACTTAACAGCTCTGAACAGCTTGTGTTTGATGGGTCATATAAAAAACAGCAGTATCAGGGGCGCCTGGGCAGCTCAGTCGGTTGAGCATCCAACTCTTGGTTTCGGCTCAAGTCATGATCTCGCAGTTTCATGGGTTTCATGGGCACTGATGGTACAGAGCCTGCTTGGGATTCTCTCTGTCTCTCCGCCCCTCCCTGACTCACACTGTCTCTGTCTCTCAAAATTAATAAATCAACTAAAAAAAAAAAAAAACAGAGCAGCATCATCCTCAATTTTCAGCACACTGACAATATCAAAAATATTTCTAGGTAAAAACTGAGAGCTTTTTCCCTGAGATCAGGAACACGACAGGGATGCCCACTCTCACCGCTGTTGTTTAACATAGTGCTGGAAGTTCTAGCATCAGCAATCAGACAACAAAAGGAAATCAAAGGCATCAAAATTGGCAAAGATGAAGTTTTCACTTTTTGCAGATGACATGATACTATACATGGAAAATCCGACAAACTCCACCAAAAGTCTGCTAGAACTGATACACGAATTCAGCAAAGTTGCAGGATACAAAATCACTGTACAGAAATCAGTTGCATTCTTATCCACTAACAATGAAGCAACAGAAAGACAAATAAAGAAACTGATCCCATTCACAATTGCACCAAGAAGCATAAAATACCTAGGAATAAATCTAACCAAAGATGTAAAAGATCTGTATGCTGAAAACTATAGAAAGCTTATGAAGGTAATTGAAGAAGATATAAAGAAATGGAAAGACATTCCCTGCTCATGGATTGGAAGAATAAATATTGTCAAAATGTCAATACTACCCAAAGCTATCTACACATTCAATGCAATCCCAATCAAAATTGCACCAGCATTCTTCTCGAAACTAGAACAAGCAATCCTAAAATTCATATGGAACCACAAAAGGCCCTGAATAGCCAAAGTAATTTTGAAGAAGAAGACCAAAGCAGGAGGCATCACAATCCCAGACTTTAGCCTCTACTACAAAGCTGTCATCATCAAGACAGCATGGTATTGGCACAAAAACAGACACATAGACCAATGGAATAGAATAGAAACCCCAGAACTAGACCCACAAATGTATGGCCAACTCATCTTTGACAAAGCAGGAAAGAACATCCAATGGAAAAAAGACAGTCTCTTTAACAAATGGTGCTGGGAGAACTGGACAGCAACACGCAGAAGGTTGAAACTAGACCACTTTCTCACACCATTCACAAAAATAAACTCAAAATGGATAAAGGACCTGAATGTGAGACAGGAAACCATCAAAACCCTAGAGGAGAAAGCAGGAAAAGACCTCTCTGACCTCAGCCGTAGCAATCTCTTACTTGACACATCCCCAAAGGCAAGGGAATTAAAAGCAAAAATGAACTACTGGGACCTTATGAAGATCAAAAGCTTCTGCACAGCAAAGGAAACAACCAACAAAACTAAAAGGCAACCAACGGAATGGGAAAAGATATTTGCAAATGACATATCAGACAAAGGGCTAGTATCCAAAATCTATAAAGAGCTCACCAAACTCCACACCCGAAAAACAAATAACACAGTGAAGAAATGGGCAGAAAACATGAATAGACACTTCTCTAAAGAAGACATCCGGATGGCCAACAGTCACATGAAAAGATGCTCAACGTCGCTCCTCATCAGGGAAATACAAATCAAAACCACACTCAGATATCACCTCACGCCAGTCAGAGTGGCCAAAATGAACAAATCAGGAGACTCTAGATGCTGGAGAGGATGTGGAGAAACGGGAACCCTCTTGCACTGTTGGTGGGAATGCAAATTGGTGCAGCCGCTCTGGAAAGCAGTGTGGAGGTTCCTCAGAAAATTAAAAATAGACCTACCCTATGACCCAGCAATAGCACTGTTAGAAATTTACCCAAGGGATACAGGAGTACTGATGCATAGGGGTACTTGTACCCCGATGTTTATAGCAGCACTCTCAACAATAGCCAAATGATGGAAAGAGCCTAAATGTCCATCAACTGATGAATGGATAAAGAAATTGTGGTTCATATACACAATGGAGTACTACGTGGCAATGAGAAAGAATGAAATATGGCCCTTTGTAGCAACATGGATGGAACTGGAGAGTGTGATGCTAAGTGAAATAAGCCATACAGAGAAAGACAGATACCATATGGTTTCACTCTTATATGGATCCTGAGAAACTTAACAGAAACCCATGGGGGAGGGGAAGGAAAAAAAAAAAGAGAGGTTAGAGTGGGAGAGAGCCAAAGCATAAGAGACTGTTAAAAACTGAGAACAAACTGAGGGTTGATGGGGGGTGGGAGGGAGGAGAGGGTGGGTGATGGGTATTGAGGAGGGCGCCTTTTGGGATGAGCACTGGGTGTTGTATGGAAACCAATTTGACAATAGATTTCATATATTGAAAAATAAATAAAAAATAAATAAATAATATATTTCTAGGTATATTTACTATGTATCTACTTAATTAGGTGCTATAATACTGTTCTAAAAAACCAAAACCTTACTACTACTAAGCGCTCTTGGATCTCCCCTAGTATCCTTCTAATTCTTTCATCCAAATTATTCAGAAAGTAAATAAATGTCTACAACTGTCTTCACAGGCACTGCTATTGGGCAATACTATTTGGAATTCTAAACTTTAATTTCATTGTACCATAGATCTAAATATCTAGGATGGGGTCTATCTCTAGCTTGAGAAAAATCTATACTCATCTATCAAAGAAACATAAACTCTTAAAAATGGAAGGCTCCTTAAATATCATCTAATCCAACTCCCTCATTTTGCTCCTAAATGAAGAAAATCATGGGGCTAAAAATGCAAAACAAATCATGACAAGTGATTAAGAGGTATTTCTGATGACATAATCTATAACACAATCTTGCTTCAAAAAGTTAAACCTTAAAGCATATATCACATAAATGTGTGAGATGTACTCTCTTTTTCTTGGCTACTCTTAGTGCAAGCTCCTTGACAGAAAGAACCATGTGAATTTCCATAGAGCCTAACAGATAGCCTAATCATATATCCCAGTTTCTGTCTATCATACCAACATGATTACTAATGGCACTCCTTTTCACTCTCAAGAGTCTCTTGGACAATAAATTATATAGTAACACTATAAAAATGGGAGCAGAATTGGGGCGCCTGGGCAGCTCAGTTAGCTAAGTGTCCAACTTCGGCTCAGGTCATGATCTGACAGCTCATGAGTTCAAGCCCCGCGTCAGGCTCTGTGTTGACAGCTCGGAGCCGGAGCCTGCTTCAGATTCTGTATCTCCCTCTCTCTCTGACCCTCCCCCACTCATGCTCTGTCTCTCTCTCAAAAATAAACATTAAAAAAATTTTTTTTAAATAATTAAAAACAGGAGCTGAATTAATTTCTGTACAAATAAAGTTATAATCAAAGAATACAGTTACAACCAACTACAATTATAAACAAGTAAATAAAAACCATTAAAACTTAAGGTTTTAAATAATTCTAAATTGCAAAGGAGTTTGATCCAATGTATCGTGGAAAGAGACCCATAAATGTTTCTTAGGTTCTAACAGCAACTTGCCTGAGGACTCTAGAAAAGTCTACATTTCCCATCTGAGAATGAACAGAATGTGGGAAGGCAGTGATGCCCAACCAGTAATACTATCAGTGACTTGGAAAGATTTGTGGGAATACCTTATGCTATGTCCTTTAGCCCTCCTCTCATTTGTGTGGTGTAGGTAAAGAAACAGAACAGTTAAGCGTCCAACTTCAGCTCAGGTCATAATCTCACAGTTCATGAGTTCGAGCCCTGCGTCGGTCTCTGTGCTGACAGCTCAGAGCCTCGAGCCTGCTTCAGATTCTGTGTCTCCGTCTCTCTCTCTATCCCTCCCCTGCTCATGTTCTTTCTCTCTCAAAAATAAATAAACATTAAAAAAAGTGGGTTTTTTTGTAAAGAAACAGAAAAGAGGGTTTTTTTTTTTTTAAAGGCAGAACAATCTTCAGGATAGAAATAATAAAATGCTAACCTAAGGATTACCTGGAGATCAAACACAGTCTACCCATTCTGATATAAATTTTATACATGGCTTACAGTTTTTGGTAAACACAACATGGCCTTCCTAACTCTTTTATGTTTCTGAAATTAATGTCTTTAAAGAAATCAATAAATTCCTGTTCCATGCACTACGCTTATTCTGTGTATAAATATGACACTTCAAATATCACTGATGTTGTGTCATCTCAAGCAATCATCCCTAAAGGCAAAGAGGATGAAATGACAAAAAGACAAATGTAAAGCAACAAAGAATTTTACCTAGACAAGTTCCACTGCTCAGCCAGAACCGGACTCCCAATTTCTTTAACGTTCTGGCTGCTAGCTGCAACAATTCCTTTGCACTCTTCCGAAAGGCCATGGCTTCCACAGTGTTATCATCAAGGTACTGCTACAGATAGAACAGTCAACTATTACAGCCATTTCTAAATTGCTAGAAATATTTCGGTGACATCTAAATTAAATTTGAAGATTAACCCCATATTATAAATTTTCTGTTATAAAAAATCCAGTTTCAGAGTTCCTTGTTACTTGCACATTTATTTTATAAGACCACAGGAGCAGATTCTTCGAAAGACAAGTAAAAGGGGAAGAAGTATAACCAGGATTCCCAAAGGATGAGACTTAAACCTTCATCCACTCCCTCCTCCACATCACAATTTAGCAGACTAGGCAGTTAGGAGAAAAGAAGACTAATTCTGAGAGCTAAAAGCATATCTGAACAAAATGCATTCAGTGACGTTTTCATGATTCATGGATTCAATTGGTCTTTTGAGACTGCAGAGTGTAGTAGAAAGAGCCTGGGATTTTGAATCAGATTATCTGTGTTTAGGTCTAGCCCCTCTTCTTCTCAGTTGTGATGCAGGACATCTCACCTCAGAAGAGAACACAAGCTCTATGAGGAAAGTGACTTCATTTTATCACTTTATCTCTAGTGCCTGATGAGCAAGGGAACGAGAGAACAAACCTCTCTTACATATAGTTTCCTCACCAGTAACTTGAAGGATAATAATTATACTTTGCAGGACTGCTGTGAAGATTTGATAACACAATGGATGACAGAAAAATGTCTCATAAACTATGAAGTTCTATACAAATATCATCATGATCATTTACTTGGCCATGCTTTTCTAAGTTTCTTCATTTTTAGACTATTCTAGACTGAGGAAAACACTATAAATTCTTCACTGATGCTTCACTACCTATGGGTCAAAATGGAAACTTCTTGGCATAGCAGAAAAGGACATTTGTGTTCTGGTTCCTGTCTACTGGTCCAGCCTCATCTCTACCCTCCTCACACTTCATAATACAGCAGTAACTTCTAACTCCCCCAATATACCACAACTTTTTGAGCCTCCGTGTCTTTACACATACTAATTCTTTTATCTGAAATGCTCCTGACCAACAAAATCTTTTAGGTATGTGTTCCACCCTTTGAGAAACATTCCCTAATTTTCCCAGGAAGATGTATGTATTTATTCTACCAGTACTGCCCTTTTGTTCAACATTTGAAGGGAAAAAAATGTATTTGTCCTAGATACAAAGACAAATGAATCTGTTCAATGAGTTATAATAGTTACCATGTATAAACACTTTGACTATAATTCTTATCATATTTAATTCACAGTTTTTATTTTATTTATGTTTCTTCCGCTAGGCTATAAAGATGGTTCCTGGAGGGCACATACTAAATCTCTCCACCACTATAGATACAAATTTAGAATCGTGCCTGGCACATAATATGTGAACATCACATGGTGGAAAATGGGTGAATGAATAAATGAATATGACCCTCCTACACTAACCCTGCCTATAATATCCTGTAATATCCTGTCATTCTTTCATAATATAACAGGAGAAAATATGGTTCCTGGAGGGACTCTTGGGATTTTTTTTTTAAACTTTATTTATTTATTTTGAGAGACAGTGAGAGTGGGGAGAGGTGGAGGAAAAGGAGAGAGTGACAGAGAGGGAGAGAGGGAGGAAGGGAGAGAGAGAGAGACAGAGAGAGGATCTTAAGCAGGCTTCATGCTCTGTAGGAGCCTGACACAGGGCTTAATCTCACCATCGTGAGATCATGGCCCGAGCCGGTATCAAGAGTTGGCTGCTAAACCGACTGAGCCACCCAGGCACACTGGGACTCTAGGGATCTTAAGAAAAAAGTGTCCCTAGGAAGAAAGTGGGCTCCCAGAAGATAAATTGCCTTCTCCAGAACATACAAATTATACAGGATCCCTTCAAGATGAAAATATCTTCAGAGTCATAGCTTCCCTTAGAACATATAACTGGAGGAGTACCTGGGTAGCTCAGTTTTGGGCGTCCGACTTCGGCTCAGGTCATGATCTCATGGCTCATGAGTTCGAGCCCTGTGTTGGACTCTGTGCTGACAGCTCAGAGCCTGGAACCTGCTTCTGTGTCTCCTTCTCTCTCTGCCCCTCCCCTGCTCACACATGTTCTCTCTCTCTCAAAATGAAATAAACATTTAAAAAATTTTAAAAAAATGACTGGAATGAGGGGCACATGTTCTTACCCTTGGTGTGGTGGGAAAGACCGGAGACCCAGGTTTTAGTGAATGCTCAGCCAGTAATGACTGAAAACTGACACAAAGTAATGACACAAAACTGAAACCTCATTTTTTTTTTAATCTGTTAAAGGCAAATACTTGCCTTATTTCACAGAGTGACTGTAAGGGTCAATCTAAATAACAGACATGAAAACTCTGTGATTGATAAAAAAGGTTACCCTGATAGTTATGTCCTACTGAGGCTGTCTCCTGCATGGACATACTCCCACCTCTGACGTACCTTTCCTAACATGACATTCCCAGAAACTCCATTTCTTAGAATCGACTCTCATATGTATTAAAGTGTATACACTTATCAAACTTTTGCATCTGTTATGGATTTTAAAAATTAGAGTATGCATATTCTTTTCCGCTTAAAAAAATATCTTATATCAATCTTGGGCTTACCACGCCTCTGGAAAAAGACAAAATCCCAATTTAAATATCATGTCCATTTGATCTTTGCCATTCAGGCAACCTTTCCACAAACCTTCCCCCCAAGTATAGACTGAAAGTAACATGACAGAAGCTATCCACTCGTTTTATAGATGAGGAAATTAAGGCTCAGAAATTTGCCCAAAGTCTCATAAAAAAAATTAGTAGTTGGAGGAGGATAATATAGCTTTGTAGATATTTATAGACCAGATGTCCAGATATTTCCATGTTTCCCTCTGGTTTTTCACTGGAATTCAACAGACTAGACTGGAACTCATTAATTTCTTTTGATGGTTACTGCTGAAACAAATCAAGTTGAGGAAAATGTAAATTATCCTATTTCTAAACTTCTTGGTAGATTTGAGAAAATAATTAAAAGTAAGTCAAGAGAACACTTCCCATTCTCTTCCCCCTCCCATCCTGAACTATTCACTATTAGAACCATTAGCTAAGGCAGAGCAAGAAAATGCATATGAGTGGCTGGTGTCAGAGCCTGAGCAAGTGCTAAGAGAACCACATGGAGGGAGGTGTCCAGTGCTGGGAGTCAGAGCCTGAGCAGTTTGAGAAGTATGTCTGTAGATGGGGGCAGCCCAGTAGGAGATTATTAACACTCAAGCAGGGTGAGGACAGCATCAATGTGGGAGACAGGACAGAAGCAATGACAGGAGACTAAACAAGTAAGTAAATATATTAAGAATAACAGGAGTTATGTTTCTTACTATTTGAGAAGGGAGTCACAAATAAGAAAATAAACCCTATGATGTTTAACTGAAACATAAAGTAGTTGGCTGGTGGTATCAGTGTGAATTCATGGATCTTGATAGATGGATATAGAAATAAATAGAAATAAATACACACACACACACACACACACACACACACACACAGAGTCACTCAGGGGGTCTGTGTGCAACAAAACCCAAGTAGCAATGAGCACACCTGGCATCCAAACCTTCACTTATTTATTTATTTATTTATTTATTTATTTATTTATTTATTTAGAGAGGAAGAACGTGAGCAGGCGAGGGGCAGAGAGAAGGAGAGATAGAATCCCAAGCAGGCTCTGCACTGTCAGTGCAGAGCCCTACGTGGGGTTTGATCACATGAATGCTGAGATCATGGCCTGGGCTGAGATTAAGAGATGGACACTTAATCAACTGAGCCACCCAGGTGCCCCCAAACCTTCACTTCTAAAAGGAACCAGGACTTAAAGAAATGACTGATTCCATGTGTGTGGCATGGAAATTACAAGATGAACCTAGAGCACCTGTGGCAAAGAGCAAACAAGTGCTCAAAAACTGATGAAGACATGTCAAAATGACAGGAGTCATCATGAAGGGGTTCCCACTGGCCAAATATGAATCAATTTGAAGATAATGAAAATAATGAATGTAGTGAATACAATGCAGTAAATAAAATAGGAAACCATGAGTTCATACTGATATAGACAAATAAAAGATTGATGATGAGGGGCACCTGGGTGGTTAAGTCAGTTGAGCGTTTGACTCTTGATTTTGGCTCAGGTCATGATCCCAGTGTCATGCGATCAGGGCCCTGCCTTGGTCTCCACGCTGAGCATGGAGCCTGCTTAAGATTCTGTCTCTCTACCTCTTTCCCTCTTCCCCACTTGCACGCTCTCTCTCTAAAATAAAATTGAAAAAAAAGATTGATGATGACACTGACAATATTTTCATAGTTTTAAAGTACCTTCATGCCAAATTTCTATTAATGACAAAGGGAAAAACAGAAACTTCACAGGGTTGAAGCTAGCAGACAGCACTTTAATCAAGTGATCAATGTAACACAGCAGTAATGGGACAAATCACAACCACACAGCACCTGATAGGATGTAATGAGAAGAGCACAGAATCACTTGTGGTGTTCCTACTACAGGTGTATAACCTGAATCTAACATGAGGAAAAACAGACAAACTTCTAGATGAGGGACAATTTACAAAACATCTGCCTGTAATCTTCAAAAGCATCAATCATAAAACTTTAAAAAGGACTATCAAACCATTTCAGACTGAAGGAGACTGAAGAGATGAAAAAATTAAATACAACATGTGATTCTGAATCCTTTTATTATAATTTATTCTGAACTGAATTCTTTTATCACAAAAGCTATTTCTGGGGCAATTAGAAAAACTTGAATGGGGATTAAAATGGTGATCTAACATCCTTATTTCTGTATTAAGACAATGTAGGACAATGTTTTTGTTTGGGGAAAATACTAAATTATTCAGGGTTGTAGGGTATATGGTCGACAACTTACTCCCAAATGGTTCAGGAAAAATATTTATTTGTATTTATTTACCACTTTTCTGAAAGTTTAAGTATGTTTCCAGAAAAAAAAAATATTAAAAATAGAAAGTTAGAATGTTGTTTTATGAGTTCTGTGAGATTAGTTCACTGCTTACTTTACACCAGGCATTGTATTTAAGATTGTTTGGCGCCATCAAGTGTTCAAAGTTATATATGTCCACTTTAATTTGAAAACGGGACCTTGGTTCTAATACTAAGAAATAATGAAGAATGAAACATTTAAGAGAATAAGAATAAAAGAGTTATCAACTTAATTAGGCACCCTAAATCAGTAATACCAATACAATAACAAAAGAGAAAAGCAGATTAGAAATCACAAGCGTATCTTGCTGCAAGTGAAGGGACACAAATAATGTAATTAAGAATGAATACAAAGTTCCACCTGATTTTACTATAAATATAAACCTCCGATGGGATGGTAGTCTTGCTATGTGATGGTGCTTTAAACACCAAAACTACGAGGCTATATATGATAAGCCGATAAGCCTTCTGAGCATCTGCCATCCATATTCTTTACTCAAAAGCTGATTGAGGGCTTGTGCTGAAAATTTCAAAAGCAAGAATGAAAACACGCAATTAAAAAACCTGATACCATCCTAATGATGTACCAATATTTTGAAGCATTTTACATTTTACATTGCCTTCTCACAAAGATCGTCAAAATCAGCCTGGACAAATGCTTGCTAGGGAATGGAGAAGTCCTAATAAGTGTCCTTAGAAAATTCATTTGATTCAGATGAGCACCTTATTCTCCAAACATTTTTCCAAATTATAGGATCTTTTCTTTGTGCCAGATGCTGCTCTAGATATTGGGGCTACAGAAGTGAACAACAAGCCTGCCGTCAATAAGTTCACATAATCTAGTAGGGGGACAAGACATATACTCGCAATTCACTGTGGGAAGTGCTCTGACAGAGGTGGCAACCAGAGCAAACTCCCTTAAGGCAAGAAGAGCGAGTGGTCAAGCTCAGGCAGCAGACTGCATCTCCTCTGCTTCCTGTTACTTCCTTCGTGGTAGGGGTATGATGCTCAGCACTTGACGACTATAGTAGATTCGTCCACATAGTTTTCCAGCTTGTCATCCATGAGGCTGACTGGGTATGTTTCACAGCTCACAATTACAGATCTAAGGAGACTGGGCTGGGAAGACCCACCAGGAAGGCTGTCAGGCCTTGGTCCCAGGGACCAGCACCGCCTACCAGAAAAATCTTGCATTTGCGGGTGTGGGGCACTTAGCCAGCGATTATACAGCTGGTACTTCGTCTCCTCATTCTATTCCTGTCCATGTGTCTACACCTTTCTTAGAAGGGAACCCCAGATGGGGCGCCTGGGTGGCGCAGTCGGCTAAGCGTCCGACTTCAGCCAGGTCACGATCTTGCGGTCCATGAGTTCGAGCCCCGCGTCAGGCTCTGGGCTGATGGCTCGGAGACTGGAGCCTGTTTCTGATTCTGTGTCTCCCTCTCTCTCTGCCCCTCCCCCGTTCATGCTCTGTCTCTCTCTGTTCCAAAAATAAATAAACGTTGAAAAAAAAAATTAAAAAAAAAAAAAAAAAAAAAAAAGAAGGGAACCCCAGAAAATAAAGGGCAAGTGGAAGGATCGGGGTACCAAAACCCCACCATAAATTCTGACTGGTTTCACTGTATTTCTGTTTTAAGTCATCTCTCAGAGCTGAAACTTCATGCCTCTCAAAATCATCTTTACATCCCCAGGGTCAGCAGAGTTCCTGGGAAAACGGCTTTCAATAAGTGTTTATTGAATTGAAAGCGAGAGCAGCAGAATAAAGTAAAGTTCAAAAAGCACTGGTCTCTGCATAGCATTTACCTTCAAAACCTTCATAAACACAGAACATTCATATGCATTGCCAGCCCTCTGAGAAAAACTGCATTTTCCGTGAAACCTTTCCCAAATCTACATGGTCCATCTTCTACAGTGGCTTCATCCTACGGGGGGGGGGGCGCTTTAAGAATGCACCACCTTTGATAGTGTTTATGGGGTATCCTAACTGAAAGCAGAGGCCAGTGCTAAACCTATCAGAGCCTACCCCAATAAAACAAGGTCTCCATAAACATCACACCATTCAACTAGGAGAGAAATCGTTTCTTAAGGTTAATGTTTACTCTCCTTTAAAAAAAAAAATTCAGGGGCGCCTGGGTGGCGCAGTCGGTTAAGCGTCCGACTTCAGCCAGGTCACGATCTCGTGGTCCGTGAGTTCGAGCCCCGCGTCCGGCTCTGGGCTGATGGCTCAGAGCCTGGAGCCTGTTTCCGATTCTGTGTCTCCCTCTCTCTCTGCCCCTCCCCCGTTCATGCTCTGTCTCTCTCTGTCCCCCAAAAAATAAATAAACGTTGAAAAAAAAATTAAAAAAAAAATTCAAATAAAGCAATCTAGAAGAAAAACAATGAATCAAAAAAGATGTTTTCTTACCTATTTACTATAGGTCCCTTCATTTCCTACCCCTCCCTGGAAACATTAAAAATAAACACACCTCTTCTAATTTAAAAAGTACAATATTTGATTACTTCTAACCTGAAAAAATGCTCGAGCTTCCTTATACCTACACTCAATAAACCGAGAGTGTGGTATTTCTTCTAGAAACTGCACTGGATCTTTCGGGATGAGAACTTCGAGTCCATCAACAGTAATTTGTTGTAACTCTGGCCTGAAAACAAAAGTGAGGATTTCTTATTAGGACTTAACCCAGAAAGCTGGCAGCCTCTTCAAAACACATGACATAAGCAAAAAAGCTAAACGTCAAGCATATTTTCCTCAGTTACCACTTTTTAAGATCTACTCTCTCAGCACCTGTCAAATATACAATGCAGCACTGTTAGCTATAGTCACCACAATGTCCATTACATCCCCAGAACTTACTTATCTTATAACTGGAAGTTTGTACCTTTTGACAATTTTTACTATGTAAGCATATATCCATGAACATACTTTCTCCTGTGTTTGCACATTTTATGAATATAATCAAGAGTTGTATTATTTTACGCATTGCTTCTGTCACTCAACATTGTGGGATTCATCTACGTTGTTACACAGAGCACTAATCCATTCATGTCCCTGCTCTACAATACTTCACGGTATGAATACACAAAGTCTGGGGGCATTAAAAACAATGTTTCTAGTATTTCGTATGCGTATTTCCTAGCACGCATGTGCATGAGTTTCTTGCTGTTGGGTATTTACATTTCAAAACTGATTTGTGTGAATTACATGTTAGATTTAATTACAAAATGTAGGAAAAGAGTAAGAATTCATGACTGGACACTACAGGTTTCAGAACTCCTCTTTACATCCTGAATTTACCTGTCAAAAGCTCCAGGATAACGGCCAAACTGTAACTTTCGAAAAGGAACAAATTTCCGGTCCACGCGTCCTTTGAGTCGTAAATGGCCGTGCCAGAGGTAGTTGCCACTCCTCTCATGAAAGACCACCAAGTGGATGGCATGATTAGCCAATCTGCAGATGTAGTGCAGGGGAATTTCGGTTCCAGAAAGTGAGTCTATTCCATCCAGCCGGGGGTCTTTGCTCTCAACCTTTAGGCACTGAAAGCCCATATTTTCAGCCGTCCGAAACCAGCCCTCCTAAAACCAAAGAAACATCAAGCTTAAATATTTAAAACCAAACACTGGTAGCAAAACTAAATGGATTCTTACATTGAGTCAAGCCATACACATATTTTGCTAATCTCCTCTTTGCCCAAAGATTTCAAACTAAGGGTGGCAAGTGGGGAAGGTGGTGGTGGGAGAATAAGGAGAATATCAAAAAGGGAAACTACGTAGCTCAGCACACATGTTCAAAGACATCCTTTATGAACATGCATATCAATTTCTTCCTTGGAGAGAATGCTCATTTTAGTGTTCTGTGGTTAGCATCTATAAGGCAAATGTTAATGTAAGGATAGCACTTAAAATAAAACTTGTAATTTTCAATTTAACTTCTATTAATTTCTATCTTCAAATGTGCTTCAAGAGGGTGGTACTTTCCTCTCATACTTTGTATCCCAACGCCTTAAACTGCTACTATAATAGAAGTCCATCAGGATGCAAACCATCAGAAAACAGACGAAGGCATTTTCCAATATCATTAGTTATAGTATAAATCTCATGTAGTAAAATTAATCTATATGGTAGATTTTTAGTCCTAAGACCAACAACCAGTGCTATGGATGATTAAGCAGCATAAATTATTGAGAACACCTGAGATTTTAATAGTAGGCTTTGTAATTTCCAAGGAACTTTAATAAACATTATTGCATTTACATGACATCTATCATATAAAATACGTAGCATAGGTATGCTAGATTAAAAAACAGACTCATAGAAGCCTTAAAAAAAAACAATAACAGGCAGAGCCACTGCCAGTACTTAGGTCTTATGCAACCAAATCCAAGGTTCTTTCCATTCTTAATACTACCTCTCTAGTCTCTATTTATATAATGTGTATGAAGCTCATTCGCATTCATTATCTCATCTGATGCCCCCAGAATCTACTTGAGGTCGTCAAGGAAGATATTATTATACCTAGTCTACAGTTAAGGAAAACAAACTTCTAGGTGGTAATAGTCAGATTTTAACATTATTAAATTAAGGAGCTGTGTCTGTAAGTTTGTCTTAAAAGCCACAGCATTCATAAACATTCTTCAAGAGTACTTTATTCACATCACTTACTACTGTTGAATGTTATCTGGATTAGCCGTATCTTCACCCATGCTCTTATAGCAGACATAGACCCCTATCGTAGTATTGATTATACTGCTTTTTAATTGTTTAAACTCCATCAATAAACTGCAAGTTCCTCAACCACAGGAATCAACAGAGTGACTAGTACCCAGCAGGTGCTCAATAGATATTTGTTGTTACTAGTGTTTATACTCTTATATGAGAGGAAGTGTTAATTCGGTAGAGAATGCTAACAGCAATGACAACTGTCCTCTCCTTTATGGATAAAGAACTAAACTGTGCCCTAGTCAAAGGAATTTGACTAGGAAATATCCTATAGGAAATATAGGATATAGGAATCCTATATTTAGCAATATAAATAAATATAAATCCTATATTTAAGAATATAAATATAGGAAATATCCTATAACAGTTCCAGGCCTGGCTTTACAATCTTCATAAAATCTTTCATGCGTTCCCTCTTAATGTCTGCATCTAGGGAAGCAAAGAACTCCAAGGTGGAAAAGCCATTTACACAAATGAAACAGCCTATATCCCTAAATCTCTAGAGAAAAGTCATCCAGAAATATCTCTGACCAAGAATATCCACACTGTACTTAGGTAAAGACAATTACTCCTTTCTTGTGCTAAATCAATGAGATTTTAGGGATGTTTTTTAATAGCATCTAATGCAACTTACCCTCGTTAATGCAATTTCACCTTAATTCTCCCTATATTAGATTGATCAACTATGGCACTCCTCTTTTTCCTTTTCTCATTTGGTCTGCTAAGAGGTGGAAAGTACTGACTGAGAGTGAGAGTAGCCAATTCAGAGACGGAATCCACGGTGCAGGATGAAAGAAATGCATGATAAGCTGGTAAATCCAGGAAAAATTTAAAAGGCCAGCCAGACCTTGAAGGGGAATCAGACCCTGGGTTGTGGGAAGAAAGACTGACAGACAAAATAGGAGGAACTCTGAAACGGCTTATCTTATAATCATGAGAGAAAAGTCAGAACAAAGTAGTTGCTCTGATCAAACAGAGCAAAGGCCTAGGTCAAGGCTGTACTGCACAAATCTACTTCCAGTTGCCTTTGGCAGTCGTTTGTTCACTTTATTGTCATGGTAATAATAAGGAATAATTACATGCAACTTATGTCTACAATAATTAGATCTAGTGTTCTAGATCTAACCTTTGGGAGAAGGTTTAGGGAGGACAGGGAGAAGGTTGAGGGAGGTTTAGGGTTTGGGAAGGCTCTATGTGATGTCATATGTATAAAAGGACAAACGTGAACCTGTGTGCTTATTCTGGGTACTGCTGACCTTCTGCTTCTTCCGCTGACTGTGGTCATATTAGTGTTGCCAATTGTAGCTTATTTCCTTTCTTCTAAAGTACTGGTCCTCAAAGCCAGTGTTACTGTATCCAAGAGTCATTTAAAAAAATTGTGGGCATATTTTTGACTACCATAATGATTGAGGAAGACACAACTGGCATTTAGAGGCATAGGCCAAGAATACTAGACACCCTAGAATCCAAAATATGAAAATCTGCCTTGTGTCCTGAGTAATTTCAAATGTTCTCTCAGATAGTCCCGTAGTGAAAACCTTATTCGTAATCATCTGAGACCTCTACTTCCCAGGAATACAATAGCCATGTTAAAGGGGAGACAATTTTACTTTTTTGTTGTTGGAAACTTGCTCACTATTTTAAAAAACCACATTACTAACAATATCATTCATAATATGACTTTTTATTTGAAGCTACTTGCATTCAATGATCTAACCGAAAAGTGCAACTATCTGAATTACTTCATCATGTTTTCCAGTGTAGTCATGACTGAGCATTTATATGCTGAAATACACATTTTCCTTTTATTTCTAATTTATATTATAGTTAAGACATCATATTGATTTAGGGGATTATGTATATAGGCAGGGTATAATTTCTATAAACCTCATTTGGGGAAAATAAAGGAACACTATAAAATACTCTTTGTAGAAAAGGTTTATAAGCTTTGTAGTCTTTTTCTATGTCGATTCCTAGTCCAGTAGGAATGGCTAACAAATACTGACGTTTAGGAATCAGTCAGTGAGAAGGTTGGCATAGCCTTACCAACCTTATGCTGAAAGTCACCAGTTTATGAAACACGGCCACAACAAAAAGCTTCCAACTGGTTTTCAGTTGGAACTGAACAAAGAGCAATTAACCTTGCAGAAAGCCTGTGTCATGAAAACCAAATAAAATAAATAACCATAACAAAAAATAAACACCCACAAGGGATTTAGAAAAACAAAATGTAGCAGGGGGCAAAAAAACTAAATAGAAAACAAAAAACATGACAATCTACAGAGCGAAAAAGACAAAACTGCACCCACGAAACAAGAACGCTATTATAAGAAACAAGAATACACAAAACTTTTTTAAAAATATAAAAATTTTGAGCAAGAATATGATAAAAATCAATGGCATTGTTAAAGATTTTGTTTAAAAGTAGAACAGTTAGAAAAAGATGAAAAATCATACAGCAAAGATAAGAAAATGAGAGAGTCAATTCTAGAGGTCCAACAGCCAAGAAATAAAAATTCTTTCTTTCAGAAAGAAAGAACACTTTTTTTCAATACTATCCTGGAGGGGTTCCTATCTAAATCAATAACTACCTAAATCAATAACACAAGAAAAAGAAATTAGGTGTAAGGGTTACAAAGGAAGAGACTAAAATTGCCTTTTTATGCAGAAAATACAACCAATCGCATTCAAAGAGAGAAAAGGAAAGAGAAGGTGGGAAAGGGGATGAGAAAGGGAGAATGGGAGGAAGAGACTTTGGACTTTATCTGTAGAGTGCAGAGTTCAGAACAGTAGCTGGGAAACAGGATGCAGCATTTCCATCTACCTATAGTAATGAATTGGAAAAGGAAGAGGAAAAATATCCACATTACCCACACGCCGTCCCCACCCCACACAAAACTATGAGATAGCAAGGAGTAAATCTTATCAGAAATGTGCAAAATCCGGGGCGCCTGGATGGCTCAGTCAGTTAAGCATCTGACTTCGACTCAGGTCATGATCTCCTGGTTCGTGAGTTTGAGTCCCGGGCCAGGCTCTGTGCTGACAGCTCAGAGCCTGGAACCTGCTTCAGATTCTGTATCTCCCTCTCTCTCTGCCCCTACCCACTCAGCCTCTGTCTCTCTCTCTCTCTCAAAAACAAATAAACATTAAAAAAAATTTTTTTAATGTGCAAAATCTGTAAGAAAAATTACAATATTCTAACAAAGCTCATCAAAGGACACTTGAATTAAAGGAGGTATATTTAATTCCCTTGTCTTTGGGGATGTGTTGAGTAAGAGATTGCTACGGCTGAGGTCAGAGAGGTCTTTTCCTGCTTTCTCCTCTAAGGTTTTGATGGTTTCCTGTCTCACATTGAGGTCCTTTATCCATTTTGAGTTTATTTTTGTGAAGCAATTAAAAGCAAAAGTGAATTACTGGGACCTTATGAAGATAAAAAGCTTCTGCACAGCAAAGGAAACAACCAACAAAACTAAAAGGCAACCAACAGAATGGGAAAAGATATTTGCAAATGACATATCGGACAAAGGGCTAGTATCCAAAATCTATAAAGAGCTCACCAAACTCCACACCTGAGAAACAAATAACCCAGTGAAGAAATGGGCAGAAAACATGAATAGACACTTCTCTAAAGAAGACATCCGGATGGCCAACAGGCACATGAAAAGATGTTCAGCGTCGCTCCTTATCAGGGAAATACAAATCAAAACCACACTCAGGTATCACCTCACGCCAGTCAGAGTGGCCAAAACGAACAAATCAGGAGACTATAGATGCTGGAGAGGATGTGGAGAAACGGGAACCCACTTGCACTGTTGGTGGGAATGCAAATTGGTGCAACCGCTCTGGAAAGCAGTGTGGAGGTTCCTCAGAAAATTAAAAATAGACCTACCCTATGACCCAGCAATAGCACTGCTAGGAATTTATCCAAGGGATACAGGAGTACTGATGCATAGGGGCACTTGTACACCAATGTTCATAGCACCACTCTCAACAATAGCCAAATTATGGAAAGAGCCTAAATGTCCATCAACTGATGAATGGATAAAGAAATTGTGGTTTATATACATAATGGAATACTACGTGGCAATGAGAAAGAATGAAATATGGCCTTTTGTAGCAACGTGGATGGAACTGGAGAGTGTGATGCTAAGTGAAATAAGCCATACAGAGAAAGACAGATACCATATGGTTTCACTCTTATGTGGATCCTGAGAAACTTAACAGGAACCCATGGGGGAGGGGAAGGAAAAAAAAAAAAAAAGAGGTTAGAGTGGGAGAGAGCCAAAGCATAAGAGAATGTTAAAAACTGAGAACAAACTGAGGGTTGATGGGGGGGTGGGAGGGAGGAGAGGGTGGGTGATGGGTATTGAGGAGGGCACCTTTTGGGATGAGCACTGGGTGCTGTATGGAAACCAATTTGACAATAAATTTCATATATAAAATAAAAAAAAATAAATAAAAAAAATAAAGGAGGTATATTTATGTTCATGGATAAGAAATCTTAATATTTTAACAATATCTAGAAACCTTTCATGCTTTTGCTTTCTCAGACTAGCCTGGATGATGAAAGAGACACGCGGTCCAGGGACTCCACTGCCCCATCGGCCAGCCAGCCGTCCTGAAGAAGCAGAGCTGCCTAGCTGACTGGAAGTTGAGCTCAGCTGAGACCAGAAGAGCTGCCCAGCTAAATGCTACCCAAATCACTGTCACAGAATCATGAAACGCCACAAATGATTGTTGTTTAAGCCAGTAACTTTAGTGTGTGATTGGTTACACAGCAGAAGCTAACTGCTGTATAAGTCAAATTAGAAATCAAACGTGCAAGTAAAACAGAAACATTTTCAGATATGCAAGGTTTCAGCCTCCCATTCATCCGTTCTCAGAAAGGAATTCCTAAAATGTTGTGAAGGGGTTTACGGAACAATATATGCACAGCACATCAGTCTGTAGTAAGGCAAAATGAGCAAAAGCTCTGGAAGGGATGTCTCTAAGGAAAAAGAAATGGAACTGAGAGATTACCTGATGTGTTGGATTATAAAACATAGTTTTATGTTTCTGTTACAGAGTTTATACACAGGTTATTGATACACAGAAAACCAGCAAACAAAACAGGAGAAGAAAGTTGTATAAGGAACATGATGAGATTAAACTAGGTAGCATCCATGTGATTATACATTCATAAGGTCAACACTGACTACTAATTTAACTACAAAATGTGATTAATGATGATGGGAGACGAGAGTCTGTATGTGTGTGTAAATGGAGGCAGAAGAGATTACCAGTTAAGTTCTTGTTATTCATAACACAAGTAGGAAATATTTAAAAAAGCAGAAGCAGAAAATTTCATCTATAAATGAGAAGGTAAAACAGGTAGAAAGAGGTGAAAGTGGTTGACTCTACAAGAGGAAGTAAGGGGTGAAGAGAGAAGAGCAGACCGCTCTTCTTCCTTATGAGTTCTGCATCACCATCTGACTTTTAACACAGTAGTCTAATTAAAAATAAATATTAAATTGAAAATACCACATCCTAACTTTTCCATAAGTTTAAGTATTTTCAAACTATAAAACTGGGAAGAAAGAAAAAAAAAAACATGCCAGCAAAAATCAGGTACTTATGTGGACACTTCATCTGTCTCATCACTGGCCTCATTGCCTGGAAAGAACCACAGGTCAGAAAAAAGTCGGAGCTCAGTCTCGGCGGCCCTGTGGGAAAGCCCAGGGCAATCAAGAGACCGTGCAGCTTACACTGCTTTCCCACCATCGTCCTGGGACATAAGCCTACCTCTCCGGGTTGAAGGCGACTAAACAGATCCCACGGCAGAGTTAGTGCACGCTTACCATGGGTGGCTGACTAGCTAGTTAAGTTCATTTAATCTGGTGCTAATTTTCTTACTCTTACTTGGATAATTCCTCAGAATGAAAAATAGTGAACTTGGGTGGTTAGAGGTATTGCAGATAAAGAAGGAAGCAGATTTTTGGCATGTTTGGTTGACTTTTGCCTTGTAACCACTAAGCAGGATGAAAACAGATGCTTGAATTTTTTGGATACGCTTAAGAAGCACACTCCATTTGAGTATCAAACCATACTGCACACTTACAAAGAGGAAAGAACAGTGCTGCAGACTAGTGATATCGCCTTCGTGTATACCTTATTTAGCAGATACTGAAAGTTCTTCACCAAATCCCTTTCTACTTGCCTGCCTACACTGATGGAAGTGCTAAATAGCTCTTTTTAGCCTCCTTCACAACAAGAAGACATAGGAGCCTAGTTCTGAACAATGAGCTGGAAGCTGTTTACCAGATGCTTCTGAGAAAATTTTTGCTTCAAAGGACGCATTGCATCACCATCCTTTCCTCTCATCTTACTGCCTTGAACATGGATATGATGCCTCAGAACCAGGACAGCTGTCTTGCAATGATGAGAAAAATGAAGGAAGAACTTCAATAATGCCAGCCCTGACACAGTGGGCAGCTGAACTAATGTCAACAGCACCAATCTTTCAAAGTCTTGTTACACAAGAAAAATAAGCCCCCTATTTGCTTAGGACATTATTGTCTCCTGTTACTTATAGCTGAAAATACTCCCAATACAATTTATGAAAAGTTTTAAAGATTTTTTTGAAATGTTTTACATTTTAACTGGTTTAATCCCATACTATTTTGTAAAAGACACAGTCTGTTATCTGAAAGCAAATCATCTTACCTCATTCTTCCATAGGTGATACCGCAGTGCAAATGCAGTAAAGTCTCTTGGAACACAGAAAAACTTGCATTCTGAAGTGGAGCCATGAGAAATATTTTTGACTTGTTCAAAGTCTTTATTAATCAATTCCAGAATCAAAGGATCGATAAGGAACACTGGTACATTTTGGCTGGATGTTAGCATAACAAATTTTTTAACTGCACGCTGTTTGAGAAGAAAAGAATCCCCTTTATTCTTCTCAACCAATACAACAATTTACCTTATTAAATTTTTATTTCATTAATTTTATAAGAATATATAGAAGGTTTACTCAATAGATACCATGCTTATTACTGTATTCAACAAATAAGCAAATAAATAATACATGGTCCCTGCTCTTAAGGTATACACCATTGACTGAGGAACATGAACAAATATGTATAATGCAAGGTAAAATACTCTCTAATAAAAATACATGCAACAGCTACTAAGTAACTGTACATCAAAAGAATAACAAAATCTTCATTAGAGGAAGTCTATCTGAGATGGAAACTTTGGGCTTACAAATTATTCCCTTGGTATTAGCTACAACTTTTTGAGCCAAAGTGGAAGAGGAAATACCAGATCTGTCAGATTTTAAAAATCAGTCATGTCAACCTTTTCAAATTCAACATCAATCATATGTACCATTTTTCTTCATATTTGTTACACTGTTTAATAATGCTTATAAGCAAAAGATTCAAACTAAAATATCTTGCCTGCTTGACTATTCCCATATATAGTTTGATTTTCTAATAATATTTTAATATTTTATTTTTAAAATTTTTTTTAATTTACATTTATTTATTTTTGAGAGACAGAGAGAGAGAGAGGGGGCACAAGTAGGGAGGGGCAGAGAGAGAATGAGACACAGAATCCAAAGCAGGCTCCAGGCTCTGAGCTGTCAGCACAGAGCCCAAAGCGGGGCTTGAACTCACAAATCATGAGATCATGACCTGAGCCAAAGTCGGATGCTTAACCAACTGAGCCACCCAGGTGCCCCAATATTGTAATATTTTAAAATAGAATTCTTTGGGGCAATGAGTAGAGTCCCCTACTGAAAAAACAAATTTCAAAATTACAAGGGAAACACAATAATCACACTCAAGAGTAAGTAGCACCAAGGGCAGCAAAGATCGATAGAATAACAGCATTGCTTAAAAGCATACTTTAATGGAAGTAACAAGGATTTCAAAGGGATGTATGCCCATCAGAAAGGTGCCTCATAGAATTAAGGGTAAACTCTTATTCCCCAAATCTGAAGAAATATGTAAAAACATAAATAAGATAATAAATAAATAAGGATATTAAGACTTTTAAGGATAGGAAAAAAATGAGATAAAGCTAGGAATAAGTCTCTTACCATTTGTTTTTAAGGCAGAGTATGCAAATACCAAGACTACAATAATCTTTGCTCTAGAGTTTATTATCTCTTAGTGGGAGAAACATCTATAAGTAAAGAGCTAGTTAGAAAAACAACTTTATGCCAGAAGATTCAATAACTTAGATGAAATTAACAAATGTCTTTAAAAACACAATTAACAAATTACCACAAGATGAAACAGGAAATCTGAATTGCCCTATACCTTTGAACAAAATTGAATTTTTATATATATTTGTTACGTATTGACATATATTTGTTATATATTCGTATATATTTTATTTATTTATTTATTTATTTATTTATTTATTTATTTATTTATTT